TCCTAGGCAGTTAGGAAAATTCGCATTATTATAAAATCCTTCGGCAGTTTGAATCCACACGTCTTTGGTAGGTTCTGCCATTTCTAAAGGCTGTAAGTTTTTCCATATAACACTGAGAGTTTCTTTTATTATTACTCGAACTGTACTTTTTCCAATTAAAAAGTCTAAATGCAATTGGTTAAATGTAGCTCCCGTTGATAAATACCTAAAATGATAATTCTAAATTTTACATTCTATACCAAATTACTAAACCATATAAAAATATTAAAATAAAATGGTATTAATACAATTAAGATTGTAACAAAAAAATCTAAAATATATATTATACTCAGTTTGACTATCATAATATCATCTTTAAAATATTATATTTTATGATATAGGTAATATAGATTGATTTCAAATTTAACACCTTCCATTAAAGTGATCTACTTTTAAGTTATATACCTTCTGCACAGCATGCAACGCGGTATCTACCCATTATATGTCACCTTTTTACACTTTTTTAATAAATGTACCTAATGAATACATTTTTCATATTTAGTTGTACACATTATGAGGAAATGGAAGAATCTAAAAGATACATTTAAAAAAGAGGTTCATAAATATGAGAAATCGGGATCAGCAATGATAAAAAAAGCAAAATATTGTTATTTTGACAATCTGTCATTTTTGCAACCTAATTTCGACGGAAGATCGTAAGTATTCAATAGACATACATCTAATTAATTAGGAAATATCTAAGTGTCGACTTATTTTAAATTTGTATAAGTGATATATTTTTATAATTATCTATAGGTACTTGCTTGAAATATTATATATAATTTGGAACTAGTAATACCTACCACTGATTAATTTTTCCTGTCACTAACTAATAATGAAAAATGTATTTTATTGCAGTACCTCAGGAAACATGGCACATGAAAATGATAATTCGGTTGAAGAAATCAATGTTATAGATAACCTCGATTCACCGACGGCTTCAGACCAGGCAATGTCCCCCGGTGTCCCTAATACTGCAGTGCCTAAACAGCCGAAGAAAAAACTATCTGTGTTTCAAGAACACGTGTTGAACGCCATAGAAAAAAGAAATAACAAAGAAGAAGTTTTTGATGGCAATAAACATTTTTTGCTTTCTTTGTTACCAGCGATGAAGAGTATGGATGATCAAAATAATATGAAATTCCGAATAGATGTCATGCAACTCCTACAAAAATATACAACAAATAACGATAACCAAACTTCTCAGCCTTACTCATCACATCAACTTTATACAACACCTCAGCCTTTACACACCACCTCATGCCTTATACACCACATCAGCCTCAATTTCAACCATATAATATACCTCTTCAGTCTTCAGCCTTACACTTACACGCAGCAATCACTCGAAAACACGGTTAGAAATCAAGAATATTCTATGGCCAATCAAAACACAAATGATATATTATAATAATTTTTATAAATGCCAGCTATAGCTGTAGGTACAAGATATAAAGTTATTTTGATTTGTTTTATATATAATATAATGATCCAATAATTATAAAAATATACATACTTAATAGTAATTGTCAAGCGTTCCTCTGGTGTTATTGTGTCATTTTTGAAATTCTCCATTTTTAATAAGTCGGTTTTGACGATACTCAACAATTCATCAAATGTCGGCATAGACATCCGATAATAAGAAAAAAACTTTTCAGGATACAAACGCAAATCATCATATATTAAATGAAACTGGCCTTTTCTCTTCCTTTCCTTATTTAATGGATGAACAGAATATTTTCTTTTCTTCTGGATCTTGTTCTCGTCTTCTTCTAGTGCTACAGCAATAGCCACAAGCTCCTCAGTTGTCAATTCACTTGACATGTTTTTCGTGGTGATAAAAACGGTGACAATGACTGTTTTGAATAGGTAAGAGGTATATATAATATCTTTTTTTGTATATTTTAGCTGGTAAGTACCAATACTATACCAAAGTAGATATAACTACGACGAACAAAACGAAAATGACTGAATATTATTCAGCGAATAATGAACAGGTACCACATGTTATGTGAATATTCTTGACGTCTTGAGGTAACCCCACCAGATGGGTGTAGAATTTGTATTATAGAATTATATTAATAACTTTGAAACTGAATTATGTCAAAATTATGGTACAAATATTTTTAAATATTTGGAAAATCGCGGCGAAAATAATGAGCGAATCCGTCACGCGAATTCGCTGTGTATAGCCAGACAGAACAAAAACCGCCGCGAAATCCGCTCGACGAATTTCGCCGCGAATATCGCCGTGTATAGCCCCAGCCTTAGTTAGTATAGGCCGTTCCGCAACCATATTATCTATAGCCGTGATTCTTGTAAAGGCAACCCGCATACCAGCCTCATCAAAATATTATTTTAATTCATAACTTTATACCTTATCTTGAATTTATTAAATTATTTATAAAAATGTACACGATTGTTCAAATCACGGTCTTAGAAGATCTTCTAAGACCGTGGTTCAAATGTCTGACGTTCAGTGTCGTTATCTAATCGTTCAGCATACTAATATATTTTCGTACTGTCGTTATGTGTTGTTGTATATATCTATGGTCATGACTTTTTTTGTTTCAAATACTTTATCCATCAATATTATTTCAAGTCAAAAGACGTGTTCTAAAAGGTAATTCAATTTTATGATTTAATTTGTTTATAGGTAGTTTTAAATATTATAAAATCTAAAATGCATTTGGCATACACTAGTACATTTTTTATCGGTAAATTAGACGATATTATGTAACCAAGTGTACATAAACGCATTAACAGTGTTCTAAATACGTATGAATAAAATTGTAAGTGTTTCAGCATCTGAGTATTGTATTGGTATCAAATACTTTTTTTCTTAATTTAAATGGTTAATGAGACATGAGTAAGTGTTATGATTATAACTTATTACAATTATAATGCAGATTGTAACTAATTTATATTTTTAATATCTGTAGTTTCTTCAATGTTTTTGTGCATTTAATTTATAAATGCATATTATGTAATATATAAATATAAATTCGACGTGTTCAAAATAAAATGTTTATGATCCGATGAAATGTTTATTAAAGACTAAAGTTGAATCAATAATAATATTGGTTTGTTGGTTTTATGAATTATTAAAGTATATTAAGAACCGGCTGGTACTACTCATGAAGAAATAACATGTTACTTCCTCATGGTACTAATTATATTAGTACTTATAGTCTCAACATATTATGTCTTCTCTCTAGTTTAGAATACCTATATTTTATAACAGATTCAAATTACTATCGACAAGTGTCCATTATAATTTTTCATTAAAAATAAATCCATTAACATTCCAAAATTTAATATTTTTCTGTATTAAATTATTCTTGGTAATTCAAAATGTAATTTCATTCAAATTCAAAAATAAAATAACAATACAAAACACTCGATGTTTGTAAACTTTTTCAAATTATTTATGGACATTAATACAAAAAACATAAACAATTTAAAACTTCATATAACATTGACACTTAATAACGCTATAATACAAACACACAGAATGAAACTTTTATCAAGGCAAAAAATAAAAATGAAAATAATTTATTTAGGTACGTAGAACAAAATAACAGTTCACTAGTTAATCACTCGCACTATTAATTTTATAGGAGAATTTTGAATGAAGTCTGAGTGCTGGAGTGGTAGTGTAAGAGTAGGATAAAAAGGGCGGTTCTGGAGCTCCTCCCATAGGCTCCAAAGGCTCCTCCGAAATTGGTAATAATCACTCAATATAGGCAACCTGCAACACACTTAAACTCATCCCAGACACTTAACAATCGTCAACGTGACCGAAGTATATTTTAAAAACGCTACACCCAATACAGTATTCTATCAATTTAATAATATACTACATTAAAGTATACTGTATGACGTGCCTCTTATTATAACGATGCTCGAGAATTATAACAGCTAAAGCGTGATGGTCGCTTCGAATTTATTTTCTACACGGTGATCTATATTACGTATACGTATATATAAACATGAACATTATCCGTTCTGTGTCGCGTTTTTTTACGTTGCTTGCTCCGACGATTTTTTCGTTTAACCGAGAAATTTCGATTACAAATGTCGGACGATACAATTAGGCGACATAATATAGTGTACGAGCGTCGAAACTCAGCATTCACTTGGCAACAAAAAAAATATGAAATCGTTAATACATCGAAAATTGAGGTGTCTCTACTTATTGGTGATTTCGAAATAATATTAATCCGTACTGATCATACATGCCCGCTAACACGCGTCTAATTGCTATCACCCCAGCAACCGTAATTTCTATCAATTGCAGCCAATCGTCTATGCTTAGTTGGTGCTCTTCATATTACGTTAACGCTCTTTATTAAATATATTAAGTTATAGCGTTATGGTCGCTTTGAATTTATTTGCTGCACGGTGATCTATATTACGTACCTATAGTAACATTGTCACGTCGTCGATCGTTCAGTGGCCTTGAAGAGTTTATGTGTGTTGCAGGTTGCCTATTTTGAGTAATTATTGCCAATTTCGGAGGAGCTTGTGCCACGAATTGCCTATACTGGAAAGCCCGTGCTTCTACATGAGCGGAGCTCCAGAACCGCCCTTTTCATCCTACTCTTTCATAACCACTCCAGCATTCGAACAATGGTCAATATTCTTCTATGAGGGGAATAATGCTAATTATTAACTAGTTTACTGTTATTCTGTTCCACGTACTTCAATAAATTATTTTATTTTTTACCTATAGTTTTTTGTTAGTAACATTTGTTACGTTCCGTGTCAATGTATTATTGTGTTGTGTTTCAATGTTTTATGAAGTTTTAGATTTTTTTATGATTTTTTTTATTTATGTCGACAAGAAGTGTTTGTTTTTCGACAACTTGAAAATGTTATATAAATTCTCCTTAAGTTGTTGTAAGTGAAAATTAGAAAAAAAGTTGATCGTAAAGTCCCATTAATTTTTTATGAGCATTTGAATTTCATATTTTGCGTCATTCTACTTCATTTGTTCTAGTGCGACGTTGCAAATTACTCAGAACATTGATATCGTTTTCTGTGGTGTTTTGGGAGAAATTTAAAATAACTATTCTTGAATACTTTTTTAGAGTATATTATTATATTTTATACACACAGTGACATTTCAAATATAATTTTTTTGTCAATAATTATTTTAATCGATTGTAGTAAGTACTTAATACTTTTGCCTTAAAGTATAATAATTTGCTTTAACTACAATAATATACTATGTAATACACCTTTAATACATCAAATGTACTAAGTAATATTATAGACTGACTGCTGACAGACCGTCTTCGTTCAGAAACGTTACTCTGGTACAATGCTTTGGTATCATTAAAATTTAATACCAACCATTAGACTGATCCATTCGCGGTGGTTTAATTGTCTTTGGTTGTTGGGGCCTTGGGGGGGATTGAATTATTATATACATATGTTTATCAGAAAGCTTCATACAATGTAATATATTTTATCAAATATGAAAGACCATAGTTGTTGTTATAACATTCTGAGTTCACACCCATTTTTGTAATAATACTTTTATTAAAAAACTGAAAACAACTAAGATAGACTTATTGAATATTATTATACTACAACAAGTTATCTTTTAACAATTTTATACAGAAAAATATTAAACTTTTTCATGTTAATGGATTTATTTTGAATGAAAAAATAAAATCGGCACTTGTCGATAGTAATTTGAATCTATTATCAAATATAGGTGTTATAAACTAGAGAGAAAACATAATATGTTGAGACTATAAGCACTAAAATAATTAGTACCAGTCCGTTCTAAATGTATTTTAATAATTCATAAAATCAATAAACCAATATTATTATTAATTTAAGTTTAATTTAACAGCAGAGTGAGAGATCAGCCAACGCCGAAGGACCACTGGAAGCAAATTATTATGTGATTGAATTGCTGCCCAGTGCCCACCTGGGTTCGTTCTGTGGTTAGGCAAGCTGTCGGGAAAAGCGGACGAGAAAGCCAAATTGCAGATCGAGGTGCGTGTGCCCGAATGTGTGTCGGAACCGGAGATGGCGACCTGGGGCCCTATTCTTGAGATCGATCGACAAGAAGTCGTGTGCGACTAAACTTGATTGATTATGTCGTAGTCGACTGCTAAATGCTATTCTCCAAAAGCATTCGACTAAAATTAGTCGCATTCGAGATCACGGTCTTAGAAGATAAGGTCGGGACTCTTTGCTTATAATCATGAACTAAGATATATCTTAGTATATCTTAGTTCATGTTTAGTACTAATTTAATCCACTATTTTGATAGCGCTTCTGTTCCAACTTTCTGTGTTTTTCTATTTACCGGGCATCGGTAGGCGGTATCAGTAACCAGGTAATCTGGTGGCACGGACGCACGCTGGAGGTAAATGGATTTAAAACTGATAGATTTAATTTATAAACATGTTTAAAAGTGAAAACATATACCTGGAGCTGTTTCAATGAAAATCTATCTTTTTAAAAATACCACATATTTCTGTAAGATCAGTTTCATTCTAGAAAAATTATACGAGTTATATTAGAAGTATTATTTATCATATTAAATTACTCTAAAAGATACGTCTGAAGATACCATTTTGCATTCAACATCAAATTTTTGATCATCAGAAAATATTAATTTACGTCGCTTAATATTTTTCACGTCTTGTGGGGAGTTAACACTATTAATAATATTTTTCTAAGAGAAAGTAAATTTAGTGATAAAATGTACTCTAAATGTAATTATAGTAAATAAAAATATGTTTGTATTACTCTTAAATATATGTCTGACGACACCATTTCACATTCAGATTCAACATCATATATTTCATCATCAGATATTAATTTGCGTCGTTGTGCAATTTGGTCTTGTGCACAGTTATTATTATTATTATTATTAATATTCTGAAATATTACAATATATTAAATGCAATTATCATTAATTTATTGTATATTTATAGAGAAAAAAATAATCTGTTGTGGTATAGGTATATCATTTGCTTACTTCAACATTAATAAAATCATTATCATGGCTTGTGTTCACCGATTTACTATCCAGGAGCTTAAACGGAATAGAATTACGTTTAAGCCTTGGTTTAGACAGGTTCATCTGTATAAAATCATGTTTAAAACTGTATATTTTTAAATATCCTTAATACAATATGTGCCAATATTCAATACCATTTTTTGGAAATATTTACTATTTATATGTAGGTCAGAAAATATGAAAACGTTAAAAACATTTTGTAAATTTGATACTCACAGAAAATATAATATTTCCCTTTTGATCCTTTTTAATCACTTGTCTTTCTATATCATTAGAATTAAAATGATTTTCACAAATCACAAAATTATTTTTAAGTTTTATCCCAAGGTTATTTTCCCACTGGGCTTTAAGCTCATCATTTTTGGGACAACAAAAGACAGATAATTTTGAATTTTTATTGCAACCAAAAAAACAAAATAAGTTGGGCATACTAAGTTCAAAGAAACAATTCTTAAAACAAAACTACAATATTACAGTAGTATAATATTATACGAACAACTAACAAATATGTTTGTGAAAACAAAATTCTAAATTTAGTAATTATTAAGAGGATGCCACACCAACATGTGTTGTCTCCGTCTTACAAACGCGTAATATACTCGTATGTTACGTATGTACGAGTTTCAGCGTTTGTAAGACGGAGACAATACATGCAGGCGTGACATTAACATTATTGACATAATTTCGATTTCCATGTATGTATTCAAATTAATTTCTATTTATGGCTCTATATTCTTAGATAGAATATTATATAAATTTTAAATAATATGTCATATATGATATTTTTGATTTCAATTACAATAATAATAATTTATTGTCATATTTATTTTAATTTTCGTTTGCCGCTAAAATATTTTAAATTTTATACATAACCTTCTTCATAAAGTTCTGTTCGAGGCGCCTAATATAATAATAGCGGCAAAAAACTCAACTAAAATGTCCTCTCTAAGCGACCGGATTGTTTAACGTAAATGTTGTCAAATAGGGAAGTGTCCCGACCTTATCCTCTAAGACCGTGGCACTGTAAATGTTCGTTATCAATAACAATTTTTAAAATGACTAACGATTGTTGAATTTTTCATTTTTCATTATGAATTTGATTTGACTCAGGTTAGGTTAGCGTGTACTGTGTACTGTGTTTGACTAATAATTAATTTTTTAAGTACCTAGTGTCTTATAGAGCCCTGTATGGGCCGGGCCGGGCCGTGCTTGGTGTCACCGAAATCGGGTTCGGGCTGGGCCTGGCCCTTCACTTGTATATTTAAAAGAAATTAATCAGGCCGGGTGGCCTGACTGTATATCCAAGTGAAACAAATCGGGCCGCTCCGGGTATCATTGGTAAAATTGTATTTTGGACGGGCTTGGACTTCAAAAGTTAGACCCGTGCAGGGCTCTAGTGTCTTAGTGAAACAGTGCCACAGTTGTGGTACTTTGATGCATATTTCTTTGGGAAACTATAATTAATATTATACAAATATTATACAAATATTATTAATTATTTGGTTTTCAGAGTAAACTACATTGAAGATTATAATAATATGTTGATGTGAGTTAAGATTAGGTATTTATGTTTGAATAAGTAATATATTAACAAAAGCGGCTACAGTTTGTGTTATATAAATTATAAAGTATAAAAATAATATTTGAAATAAAAATTGGACTAGGTAGCGAGCGGAGCGAGCTCTTTTTTTTATATACTTAAAAAGTGTTAAAGTTATAGGGCCAGTCATTATTGTGCCCTACTCTATCAACTATTGAAATGACGCCCCTGTTTTACACCACAGACATGTGTTGTACACAGTTAATCTTGTCTAGTAGTATGAGATCCATGTTTCAAACAAACCTTATATGGCGGGATCACATATCATGGAATAAAAACTGTTGACTGTGATAAAGAATCAACTCTAATCTTCTATTATCTATACTTTTATTGTTTTTTTAACGGACTTTTCTTTATCTCAAGGTTGAATACATACAACTGTCAACTACTACCGTCTAGTGTCTACCAATAACTACCTATTAGCTATTAGTGTCGGGTATACTTGTACTTTGCAATTGCTGTTACTTGAACTTACTGTTACTGGTACTGGAATGCAGTAATACATTACATTTGGATGGATGGAAGCTGAATGACTTTTTATTTAGTTGGACACACGACAAACATTCAATCTCCGAACTCTGATTTCATACGAAATACAAATTTTTGTATTTCTGAATTCGGAGTTCATCTGGCAAGCATAAGAGTTACATTAACTTATAGTGACTTAATTCAATCATTATTATTATTATTATTAATATTATTATTTAACCAATACATAACCGTGTAATTCTTTGGTTATGTCGTGTCCAATTACATATCCTCGTCAAGTATTGCAACGAGTCAGTGACCGTAAAAAAAGGAGACTAGCTATTGACGATTCAGATGAAATATCATTAAACCGTAATTTAGATTTATTCATAGATTCTGAGTTAGAAGTGATCGAAGATTCCCAAACTTCATTGAAGGGACATAGAGACTTGTTTGGTGAACTTATACCGCAAGATAACTTTGTCAGTAACATAAATGATGCTAAAAACAAATCAACTAAAAAGACCCTGGTATCAAAGAAAAATAAACAACAAAATGAAGAAATTGTTGTAGACAGTCCAATAATAAGACCAAAAAGGGTGTTTATTCCTACGCCAAAGTTCATGAAATTAATGAAAGAAGCGCAAACAGAATTGTACTCCTTAATGGGTGTCAACAAGAGTTCAAGTGATATTTCAGTTGTAACAAATGATAGTCTTAATGTCAGTGGAATACAAAATTTAGAAGTCAGTCCTATTACAAGTACAAGAAACGAGTCTAAAACAAATTTGAAAGATAATGATGCTGATAAAGCATCTCGACGAATTCTTGAAGGTAAACCTTCATTACTATACACCAATAATCAAATAATTGTACTACCACAAAATAAGTCCTTGTTCAATAAACCTATTGACCATGTAAGCTTTTCAATTTCTATCATATTTTGTTTAATTCTGAACAAAGTGAGGAGTGGATTGGTTTTACATTGATTTGTTTTCTTTACTAATTTCTCCTACTTATGATAAAATTTTTAGGGTAGAAATATAGAATGAGTGGTGCATTAAATTAAGTGTACCTAGATAATACTTAAAGATTAGGTAGGTAACTGAATTTCTCATGGTTTTATAATATAATGCGTGTAGAAAAGTCGTAACAAATATATCCTCTGATTTTCAACTTGCCTGTTTTAAAAATTTTAGTTTTCAATTTATCAGTTATTTATATTAATTTTGAATAACCATATAAAATACGATGACATTTTTGAAAAAGTCGTATTTTTTGAAGTTCTGTGAGTTTTTAACCGATCAAAAATATTTAAAACTGTTCCCATTATTCTTACATTAAAATATTACATTTTTAACCCATTTTTGCTTGGGTTTAGATTTTTGTATGTCTTATTTTATACATGTAAATAATATATAGAAATTGTTGACTTTATATTTGTTATTGTTAATTGTGTTAAGCCTTTTGCAAACCTTTTTATTTTTATTTTTATGCTCAAAATAATGTATAATTTTATGATATAGGTGTTGTTGCATTTGTTGATTACAAAATTGACAATGATCGCAGTCCTTCGAGCATTATTCATCGCCTCATTGAGTTGGGTGCCAAAGTTGAAAAAACATTCAATAAAAAAGTTATTAAATCAGTTATTAATCCTTAAACAATTTTTTAATATGTCTAATTTTTGTTTTTAGGTTACCCATGTGATATTTTGTGATGGTTATCGTAGTACATACAATAAAGCAATGAAACTTAACATCCCTCTAGTATCAGCAAGGTGGATAGAATACAGTAAATTAGCTAATAAGATGTTAGAACCAGCTGATTATCCACCTGTTGATATGGAAAAATACTCAAAAATAACATCAGTAAAAAATATTAATATTCCAGTAAGTACCCAATTTCAATATTTAATTTAGAACTAAACATTAATACTCACTGCCCCCGTCAAATTAAACTTTGTTCTTGTAAATGTCTATAATACATACTAATATGTAAGATTTAATTTATAATATTATTATAATTTTTTGACTTTTGCAGATATTAATCAGACAAAAATTTTTTAATATTTGATAATTCTAGTTATATAAGCTTAATTTTGAAATAGGTATTTAATTAATTTAAAAAATGTAAAAACATTTTAATGTTGATATTTTTAATTCTGAATATTGTATTATCTAATGAATTTTTAAAATAAATATTGATTGTACTTCAATTAATTTTTTATTCAATTCATACTTTATAGTTTATGTATATTATTATAAATAGTGTATTCAAAATTGTGAACTAATCGGCCAACTACATGAACTATGAAATTTATATACATTATACATTTTCAGATAAGCCAGACATATAAAAAATTTTTAAGACCAAGTAATATTGAACGTGACCTGATGATTAAATTCAAATGTGATCAAATTATGGAAAGATTTAACAACTTAAATATGAGGCAGAATAATGAAAATGAAGACTGTCTGATCATTGAGACTCCCAAAAAAACAATTTTAAACAAACCGGTAAGTCTATGAACCTCATTATAACTACCTACACCAGCGTTTCCCAAAGTGTGTTCCGCGGAACCTTAGGGTTCCGTGGGACTATGTCAAGTGTTCCGGCAGATGTATGAGATTATTAAGAAAATTATGTTTATTAATTATGTTTGTTATTTAAAATATTTTTGATTGAAAATTTTTTTTAACTAAGTTTAATAATGAAAAGTCATTAACAGTATCATTAAAATATTATTTAGACTTGAGAGTTTAAAGAATTGATTTTCATTTTTTTATTTAGAAAAATTGTAGTTGAGTTGGATTAGACATTAGGGTTCCGCGAAACACAAACAATTTTTTAAGGGTGCCGTGGTCGTAAAAGTTTGGGAACCGCTGACCTACACTATATTATATTCATTGGTGCAACTAGAAGGATGCCAAGTGGCCTATATCACCAAGTCCATATGTTTTCAAATTTTTAGTATGTTTTAGAATATTGTAAAGGATTTATCCGACATTTAAGAAAAAAATGACCAAAACCTATAACATTTGTCATCATGTTATTTTTTTGTGTAACATCAAATATTTTTGTTATCATGTTTTTCCGAAATACCAAAGTACCAACCCTTTACAACCGTTAGATGTATATGTTTTAATATTAGTTTTATTTTTAGGACGATCCTTGCAAAACAAATGATATTGTCAATATGTTATCTGATCAATTATGTAAAGTGTTAAACAAAATTGACAGTCCAGTACCAGATGATCAAATTGATGACCTATATATACCAATGTCACTTAAAGTATTAAGAAAATATCTCACACCTAATGGAAAAGAGAATACAACTTCTACAGAACTAGATAGTGAACTAGTTAAAATTGAAGATCGGCTAAATTTAAATTCTCAAGCTAGGCAACGATTTCGTAAGCTATTATTTCCCTCCGATAAGAATTTGAATAACATGAGTGAAGTTAGTGATTTTCCATCACCGTCACCTGAAAAATTGAGAATTAGTGCTCCTTCAAGATTAATTAGTACAAAGAAACAGAAAGCAATAATTGATAATAAAATATTACATAATACCAAAAACTTAAACAGTAATAAAATAACACCATCACAAAAAAATATTAAAATCAATCCCTGTAAGTGGGAAATACCATCAGATCTACGTCCTAAAAAAACTAAAAAAATTACTGCTCAAAAAGTAAAAAGTGTGAAAATAACTCAAACCAAAGACCCTTCTAGTTTAATTTCCAGAAAGTCATCTACAATTTTCCAGACACCAAAAGCATCTTTAGCTAGCCCCGTAATATTGCAATCAATTGCATGTAGTGGGATGACGAAAAGGTGAAATTTAAAAAAAAAAGAATTATATAAAACAGAATATTTTACTATAACATTTTTTGTTTAAGCAGTGAAACAAACATATTAAAGTCATGTATACAAGACTTAGGAACATTTATTTTTCATCCCAAGGTGGAACCTTCGACCACTTATTTAATTACCAAATCTCAACCAAATCGAACATTAAATGTTGTATTTGCAATGGCTTATGGATGTTTCATTGTTTCTGAAGATTGGGTAAGACATGTCACAAAAACAAGTTTAATAATATTATTAATTTTGTGACGTATTTAATCGAGTAAAATACTATTGAGAAAACTAAAAGTTGATTAATTATTTAGGTACATGAATCACACAAAATCGGTAGATGGCTATCTCATCATCAATATTTGATCTCAGATATGTCTGAACGAGTCAAAGTAAAAAATTTTGATTCACTTGTTTTTTTAAATTTAAATTAATATTTATAAATACATCTTTATTTTTATTTTATAGGAATTTCAAATACGTCGTCATACATTTGGGTCATTGATGACATTTCATATATTCGATAATGTTGGCAAGATATACATATCAAATACCTGTGATCCCCCTGCTAAGCTTTTAAGACGACTGGTGCGTGCATGTGGTGGCCAATGTACAAGCACTGAGACTAAGGCTAATGTAGTGGTTGGTTACACACCACAAATGAAAGATAATATTCATGCAAAATGGATTTTGGATTCAATAACCCAAGGGATATTGCTAAATAAAAATCAATATATGATAGTTAATACTAATGACATTATGACCTGAAATAATTGTCATATGTGTTGGCCTTTATATTCATTTTTTACTTTCTTGTTTATTCTAAAAACTAATCTTTATTTCTTTGATCTTTATTACAATTTCCCATTAAAATGTTTTAATATCTTTTTATCATAAATAATTCTAATTAAGTTAACGTATTGAAGGTTATCTATTTTCTATCTGTTTTCTTTTTCTTTTAAATAGTATTAATTATTTAATTCAATATTCAAATCTTTCTTAGAGCAATTATTTCTGACTTTCGTATTAATAATTATTATAAAAAAATGTAAGACATCAAGTTGTTTATAGCTTTATGTACTCAATCCAAAAAGAGAACTCGTCAATTCTGCACATAGAAACTAGTTCCCCTATGACAGGGTGTAGTGCAGAAATGCTCCATAGAGTAATAATATCTATATACTCAGAAAATCTGATTTTGGTAGGCCTACATTGTGTTCTCTCAGTGGCAAATTATAATTATGATATTTTTAATTTTATTGTATACATGTACTAGCTATTTCTTGTAGCTTCACTACGAAATATCAGTTTTGTTATGAGGTAGTAAGGATGCTAGTTTGATACGGCCATGTTCTCTCCTCAACCGTACACACTGCCACTCAGACCTAAGTGGAAGGATACCGAAATTAATATGATAGATCTGGTTTGTTGTAATCTCCATTCACAAGAATCTGGTCTTTAATGGTGCAATTTTCTGTTAAAATAATATTTACTTTGGTTGATGCTTACATCGTCAAGTTTAATATACTGATTTTGTAGAAAATAATTAAAACCAAGTTTTAAGTAAATTTAACTTTGCAAATATTTTTTCAAATCAACACACTCCAAATTTCTATTCATTGACTTTCAATCACATTGGAATTATAATACTTATAATTAAATATATATTCCAAACATCCAATCCTAGACAAAAAAAATGTCTGTCATTTGTGACTCTATATTCGATCAATTTTACTGTAATCTAAAATCTCGATAGTTGGATAACCAAAGAGTGAGACAACAAGTCATGGAAATAATGTTGTTTGAAGTAAATTAATTTTTAGTAATGGATGCATATCGTACAAAACTAAAATAAATACATTATATGATTGAGTTGTGTTAAAAATGTTTGTATTGTAAAAAATATTTTTTATTTAAATTATGCTTGTTTTTTTTTTTCTAACTTCTATTATTATTAATATATAGTAAGAAAGACTAATGAAATACCTTTTGTTCTAATCAATATTTCTTAATTGTTTTTTTTTTTTTATAGAAATTTATTTATTCTTGCACTACATGTATTATGTACAATATAACATTTTTATTTGATAATACTGAAAATAAAAAATTAAAGTCTAATGTAAATGTATTTTTAAACTCTAAATAGCCATTATGTAAGGCATGTAGTTTATTTTTACAGTTATATAAAGGTTAACTCAAGCTGTAGTCCAAGCTAAGCTATCAAATTTTCACACTATAAACAAGAGAAAATTTACTGTACAACATCGTTTTTATTTTTTCGATATCACAAATACAAGAAAAGTTATTCAAGTTTGAAATAATTAATTTATAAGCAGTAAGAACTTTTCTAGTATTTGTGATATTGAAAAAATAAAAACGGTATTGCACAGTAAATGTTCTCTTGTTTATAGTGTGAAAATTTGGTTGCTTAACTTGGACTACAGCTTGAGTGTTTCTCAGTGGCCGTGCCAGGAATTTTATCTGGGGGGAGGGGGCATTGGTGGCCTTTGAAAATTTGGTAGGGCCTAAAAAAGTTCCAATCCGTGGTCTTTTTCCCATTCATAGGCTCAGTATAAGGTAGGGTAATGATTGTGTTACATATACTAAGTTTTCACATAATTATTGGTTTTCGTCTTAATTGATAATAAATATCATATAGGTATAGGTATATTATTTAATATTTACACACTTAAACATTAGATATAATTTTCAACAAACTTAACTTAAAAATTCGTACTTTTTTTTTTACTAGATTAAATAGAATATTTACAATCTGTAATATTTATATTTATATACATACAATAAGTAAATTTGATAATAATAATAAGGAACAACATGAATGGCATGAGGATGGAGGCCTACCAGTGTGGATACCCTCTAGCTTGGGGGAGAGAGGGTTATTATTTTAATTAGTGCAGTTCGGGATTCAGGAGATCGCGACACCATTGTCTTTTTAGTCGACGTGGGGGGTTATTAGGGATGAAGTCACTAGCCAAGTTGGAAATCAATGGATTTGTGTGGTTAGCTGTTTTGGTGTGTACATTTTTGTAGTCGTTTTTGGCTGTTCTAGACTGTTTCAATTTTAAGATCCTTATATAGTGAGAGGTTTGAGACGTACCATGGCGCAGATGTTATTAGGCGAAGAGAAATGGACTGGAAGGTTTGTATATAGTCCGTATTTGGGAAGGATTGGCACATCCCCAAATTTGGATGCCGTAGGCCCAGAAAGCCTTAGCATTGATTTGTATATTAATAATTTGTTGTCAATAGAGTTTGGACTTGAAGGCATAGGCCGTAAAAGGTCTGGTGTTAAGGGTCTTTTTTTAATTTTGAGGTGTGGGCCACAAGTTAGACGAAGCCTCCACAGCTTGCCTTTCTCGCTCGGTGGTTGTTCGATGACTCCTACGTTTGGACGTTATTGTTTGTTTCATCGATAAGATTTTACAGTTTCGAAAAGTTACAAACGATTTATAGTTATTTCACCTGATACTTGCATGACGCAAATTGTGTCGAACATTTCGCCAGGGATCCGTAGGTATATACTCAAGTTTGAAGATGTTGCTTATTTCGTTGTAATTAAAAGACATAATTCATGAATCATGGGAACATAAAATTAAACATATATTATTTACTTTTTTTAGTACACACAATGACATTTTCAAAATATTTAGATTAATTTTAAGAAGATGTCAGGGCACTATATTTTTCTCTTTCAGCTGGCTACTGAGCAACGTCGACAATTTATTTACGCAGAATCATTTTGTTTTCTATTTGAGTAATGTTAAAGAAAAATCACCTATTACAAAAACGATAGAAAATAATAGAGACTTTTTGAGTGGATGACAAATGTATTTGTCTAAATATTGTCTCAAATCAATTTGAATATCATTTAAATAAAATTTTTTATTTATATGAGTCAAATACAAAGTCAAATAATATTAAAATATAAAACCGATGTGTTATACCTAAAAAATATTGTCCTCTATAACTTTTTAATAAGTAAAATCAACAAATCACCCTAAGATTACAAAATCATATTACCTAAATCATTTTAAATGAAAGGGTTTTATCTTTTTTACTCGTGGTTCTGAGAAAGAAAACAAATATTGCGCTGACATCCACTTAAGATATACTACCTATTTATACCATGGATCGATGGATCTGTTCACATTTTTCTGCGGCAAAGATAACCTAGTTTTACATAATAGGTTAGGCACCTAACCTAGTCAATTGGTATTGACTTAAAATTAAATAACAATATTATTATAAAATGTCTTAACCTATTTAGAATTTAGATACCTAAACCTAATGGCTAATACTGAATTTATTAGAAATTAATTTTTTTCTTCAATGGACATACACATTTTCTTGCGATATAGGGTGTAGGTACATAATAGAAAGAACTGACTAATGCAATAACTTTTGTCATAGTGAACATTTTAAAAAAAACATTTTTTTTTTATAACCACTTGCGCTATAGGTATTTATATTTTATACTTTGTTGTATAGGTACCTACATTTAAACATTTTTCATTTTTATTTCTTGAACAGAAATTTAAAATTTAAAAATTTGATTCAAATGTTTTTGGAAAATGTCTAGTTTCCAATTTCTAGTAAATTTTTTAAAATATTATACTTTTCTGAAAAATTCCTACAAATTTAAAATATTTGTCTGATTACGAATATTCAATTATATAGGTATCGTCTAACTCACGGTGCCCTCCCCCAGTTTATGTCTATCCTCTCCAGTCTCCTTAGTGCATAGAATAAAGACTACCCCCATGACAATTTAAAAGTATGTGGGCATGAGGATGACACGTCATCATGAGTTCAGATAATTTTCTATAATATAAAGAAATTCTTAGATTTTTGTTTACAATAATGTCTTGGATTATTAATTTTTATTGCATAATTATTAAATATAAATCTACAATACAGATTGAAAAGTATAAATGTATAATGTATAAACTCGGCTAATTTCTTAATATTTAAATATCTAGATATCTAATTTCACGATCGGACCATTCGGACCACGGTCAGACGGTCTTAGAAGATTCGGACCATCATTTGCAATCTATGATCGAAATTCTAACATTTATTATTTATGATTCCGATTTCCGACTATTCGGAGTATCGGTCAATTCGGTCATCGGATTGATGATAAGCGACAAGTGATAATGGTTCATGGAATAGAAAAAAATAACGGCGGTAGCTGTGCTATGGAAACAAAACTAATGGTGCGGCATTGCTACCGCCAGACGTCGTCGTCGTTTCGCCGCCCGCGGCTGACGTCGTACGTTTTTAACATTTTCTTTTTCTTTTTTTATGCTTTTATCAGTTTGTTCGTCGCACCCGTTTCGCGCACTTGTCTTCGTTGTTTGTTATTTATTTCAATTTTCGACAGTCTAGTGTCTACCAGTTTCCTCTTTCGCCGTTGGGTTTTTGCGGTTAATTTTCTATTTTTTTTGTGCGTCAACGACCGACAATACTATAATACATTTCATTCAATAAAAATATGTCATTTACTCCTCTTGTCATCTGCTACCGTCGGCGTCGATTTCAGTGACGAATTCGGAACCACCTTCGTAGTGCGTCTGCTCACCGTTCGGTTATCTTGTTTTACTCCCAAACCGGGTCGAAGTAAAAAGAATTAAAAAAACCCGTCTCCAATAACTACGTGGATTATCGTCTGTGACACCTGTTTGGTGGTTTGATGTGGAAAAACAGCGAACGATGAGTTGGGGAACGGAATTATGGGTGAGTACTGCACCTGTTAAGAGTACTACACCTAAGTCAGGTCTTCAGGGTAATGCGTAGGCGGTTGTGATTGCATTGCTCGTGTCCAGTGATACGTTATCGCACGATTCAAACAATTTTCCGTGAAAAATGCTTGACTCTACGACCTGCGGGAACTTTGTTTCTATGAATAGATGGTCAATTGTCATTTGTCACCTTAGGTACACTCGCGGTGTTGCTTAACTTGTTGAAAAAACACTATCGAGCTAATATATATTTTATGGCTATTATCGATTCCCGCATGATTCATTTTTTATAAATATTGAAATCATCTCTTAATTTTAAGTTACGAGGTGATTGGTTTGGCACCGCTAGAGTGAGGCCCCTAAAGGCTGTTTGGTTTTACTATTTTTTTTGTAAAACTAGGTATCTAAGTATATCTTATCAATATATTATGATGAATTAATGTATCATGTATGTTATACTTTTTCATTAGGTACTTATAAGTTATACCATACAAATATAAAATAATCTATCATATATTTGAACAATAAGACAGTATATTTTAAAGATGCTGATAAATTTCTATTGTTTTATTCATAATTTCTACCTAGGTATAATATTGTGTAAAAATATATTATATCTATGTATAATATTTATTTAAATAATAAAAATAGGTAGGTACATTTTCATGTAATATTTATAATCTATTTGAAGCTGTGTTTTGTGAAATCAGTAATTTTTGTTACTGTTAATCCAAATTTGAATGAAAAAATAAGTTTTATTCTAAGCTATGTTTTATTTTATGACACTTAGGTACCTGTGGTCAATTTATACTGAGAACATCTGGATAATGTTTATGTATATCTAACATTACTACTCAAAGAAAATTAAAAAAACATAATAAATGTCAACTAAGTACTTCATTAATTAATAAATAAGTTTCACATACCTAAGAGTCATACAGTCTTAAGTACTAGTACCTATAATTAAATATGTAGGTACCAACTACAAATTGTATATTTAAGTGTATTAAAACCTCGATTAAAACGTATTACTTGTAATCACATGTAAAAGAAATCAAATAGGTAATTTCGGTTACAAGAGATAAAAGATACAAACTAAACATTTTATTATTGTATTATATAATGAAAGAAACATTTTAGGTTATTAATTCTAAAAGATAAAAGGTACCTATAAACTAAAAATCAATTTTGTCAACAACTGATGTTTTTTAAATATTCGTTTTTCCCTTTGAATTTGATAAGTTTGTCCTTCGGTTTGTCCCAATTATTAAGAAAATTTGTTAGAATTTTTCACGATTGACATCCCGAGGTGGAAAAATATTGTACTTAAAAAAATAAAAATACACTAGCACGTATTGAACTTAAGACCTCTGCAAATATATTATGGTCATGGTCATTCCCAATTAGACTAGAACAAAATACATTAAGTGGCAGTTGAAAATTTAATAAAATAGGAACTAAAACGTCATATTTAAATATTTTGATATCTAGTCTAGTACAATTTAAAATTCAGGATATGACTAGTAGGCAGGGCCGGGGGGTATGGTGGGTCGTCACACCCTCCCTGTTGAATTTTTTTGTAATTATCAGTCGGCAATTTCAGGGAGCCGTTATCCGTTGGAAATTATACTTTTTGAAAAAAAAAAAAATTTATATAGGAATGGGTCTCGGCAGTTGAGAATTTACCGATTTAGAAATCTAAATACTGCCGACTGATATTGATAGCTAAGGAGTAAGGATCCATATTATAAACTATAATACTATAATATATATTTGTTTTTGTACGTTGTACAACGTTAAGTCCTTCGGCATATCATCGCCATCGCTAATCGGTATTCAGCAATCCCTATCTCAAGTACCCGTGTATAATCTATTTTCTTAAATAACATGATGTACTGCCATCTGCTGTCTGCTAAATTAAAAAAAAATTTTATTATTTACTTAATTTTTTGAGTTATTGACAAACACTGATTGATTTATATTCGTACATGACTTATTTTTTAGATCCTAAAATAGTTCTGACAGCCTTGTATCTTTACATCTGAATGAAATACAATTTAAAATGTTTTAGTTTTATACTTTGTTTTTGTTTTAACTATTTTACTTCATCTTAAAACAGAAAAACCAGGAATTTTTGTACTTCACGTATTTTTTTTTTTAGAAATTTTGAGTCGGCATAAATTAAATTTGAGTCGGTAATACTTGATCTCAACCCCCCCACCTACAAAATTGTGTAACGCCGGCCCTGCTAGTAAGTATTTCCATTAAGTTATTTTTTGAACCACAAGTTTAAATTCGACAAAATGACTTTTAGGCTAGTGACAATATACTATTGGAAGATGGGATGGAGGAGGACTATGAGTTTTTTTAAAAACAAATTTAACTAAAGATTGTACTATCTATATATTGTTGAATTTGAATAATGTTAAATACAAAAATTGACATTGTAGTTAATAGTCATATTGTTGTTTTTAACAGACTATAATTATTGATAAGTGGTTGATAACAATTGATTATGATTTATGATAGTCCTCAGTTGTTGTAAACATAGAGTATTCTATGGTAGTAATCTTTTATTCCTTTATCCTTACCTTGTCTTTTCACAAGGAAACAAATGCAACTACAAATACTATTTTGAAATTTGGACTACCAATGTTATTGACAGTATATTGTAATTTTTGTAATTTTCTTTGTATTAATTTTTATATTATTTAAAGTGAATTGTATTGTTTAAATTATTTTAGTTACTTAACTGTTTAACTAGTTCATTTAGATAAAATATAATAAGTAAAAATAATGTTAATATTATTATGGTTTGGTACAACATTATTATTATTATTATGTTTTCAATATTAAAAATAAAAAGTTAATCTAACCCAGACTGTGTTACCAGATGGACAAAAAAAATTTTAAATATAAAATATTTTTAAATTATTACATTACCAATTGGTTATTTGAGTTATTACCTACATACTTTTATTAATTTTATGTAAGACCAGGTATAATTTATTTTTTGTAAGCTAGTTAAATAATTTAAAATTAATTTAAGTAAAGGTTATCTACTTGTATATAATTATTTATTCACTTTTTAATTCTATAAAAAAATAATTTAAGTAGTTTTCACTTAAAAGTTATAAAAATTATTCATAGTTACAATTTTATTTATAATCACACAACTTACTATTAATAATAATAAGTATCACCCATTTTTTTAAAATCAGAATTAACATATTAATATAAAAACCTAAAGGTACGTTTTACCTGCTTTAGTATAGTCACCACATTCCTGGACGCTGCTAGAAAATGTACCTTAAAATCACCTTTTTTAAATCCTAAAAAATTGTATTGCTTTTAAAGTTATACTGTGATAAAAATTTGAAAATATAACAGATGGATACCTAAACAATATTAAATCTTATTTAACTTTCATTGATATTACAATCAACAGTTATAAATTATCAATAATTAATTAATATCTATAGAAGATAAGCTAATTATAATATAACATAAATCGGTTAGATATTTANGGGGGAGGCGGCTCAGAAGGTTTTAATTTGTATTAGGAATATTTTTATGATAGCTTAAATGATTATTTTATCAGCACTTGAGAGTTTGAGGATTGTTATGAAGAATACTCATCCCTACGGTAAAATTTAGTCAGTAATAGGTACAAATGTAAAATATAAATACTTATATACTTATTATAGCTAAAATAGTTATTAATTGTTTAGAATTTGGATTTTGGGATCCTATTATTGTATGAATGAAAAACTTTGTTATAAATAAACTGCCCCTATTTATTATGAAATAACTATTATGTTAGTTTTTCAGATTCTAGTCCATTTTGAAGACATTTTAAAGTTAAATTGTGATTCATATGAGACGTTATTAAGCTGTTTAGCTAACTTAACTAGTATAACTTAACCACTTATATAGATTTATGCTTACTATGTATGTATATTAATTGCCAATTATTGTAAATTAATAGTTTCAATCATTTTAAATCTGATAAATATTAGGTACAGATTACCTAACAAGGTACTCATTGGGGTATAAATATAACACACGAGCGAGAGTAGTGTTGAAACACTTCCAATATTTCTGATTTTTTTTATTATAAATTGGTTCTTACACCTTTTATTTTAATGTTCTAAAATTTTATATTACTCTCTCCCTAAAAATATCTCTTATCTACACCTATATTGTAACTAGGACAAGGAATAATACCTTTAAATACTTAATAGATATTTTTAGAATAGTGAATAGTCTTGTCTTACTAACAAAATCTTGAAGACAATACAATAATTTATAATATTCATTTGGTACCAAAAATAGTATTGATTAATTTGTTCAACTGAATATTCGGTTAAATTATACGGTTAAACATTAACATATTCGGTTAAATTTTAGCATTAATAAGATGAAAATTATTTGATTACCTAGAATGACTCATTTATTAGTTATTGTTATACCTGCATATTAATTTATAATCCATGCATTATTTACACTTAAATAATTGGTAGGTTCCTAATACTTAATTTTTAGTAAGTGTTTTATTACAAATTTATTTCAAGTAAAAATTATTCTAGTTTAACTTTAAATGTCGTCGGGCTTCTATGTAAGATTAGATTAAAAAAATGCCGGCTTTTAACTTTCTTATGTAACTTTAATTGAGTTTAAAATTGTAATCCTAATTCCTATTCTATAGTTTTTAGCTATGAGCACATGGTAAAACTGTTCTTCTACCATGTATCCATGTGTATAGGTAACGTTGAGTCTTTCTTAGCTTATACAGTGAACCCTTCCTAATCAGACACCTAGAAGCAAACATTTTTTTTAAGAAAAAACTACAAACTTTTTACAAATTAAACCCTTTGATCAGCAGACAACATTTTAGTGACCAAGAGTGTCTAATTTAAATGTGGTTTCATTGTATACCTACATAATATAATTATCTTGACATATTTTGTCAAAAGTTTATAGACCGATAGTTTT